TTATCAACAATTTCCAAGGTGAGTGATTAATGATTCCAACTCCACCATTCTATCTCATAATGAGTCAATTACATTATTTCCAACTTAATTTCACATTTCCATAATAAATGTCATTAATTACACTAATGACCCAAATATACCCAAACATGGCATTTTTCTCCTTTTTCTCAATATTGTCCCAAAGGCCCAAATATTATCAACAACAATCAATAACCTCCTTGTAGACCCAAACACATGTGTTTGAATCAAAAGAACCAAAACCCCTCTTTACAATATAACACATTTCAAACCCTAATTTCCCAAATCAAACCATTTATACAAAAAACTCAATATCTAGGTTAAAGCTCATAAAAATGAGTAGTTATCCCTACCTCAAGTAATGAAACTCAAAGGAGATGATGAAGAAATCTCGAAATGCTCCAAAATCCAAGATTTCGGATTGATAGGAAGCCCAAGCCAAGCTCCACACTCTTTGCAAAGACACTTAGAGAGTAGATCACTCAAGCTAGATCAATCCCTAGAGAGAAGGTATATTCTAGAGAGAGGAGCTCTCAAAAGAGGGTTTAGAAAAGTAAGAGAGAGAAAGGAAATGTGAAAAGTGATTTAAAATCATCCAGCTGCCAACTGATATACGTATGACCCGCTCGAACAGAGAATAGGACGCTCGAGCGTCAAATACAAAAACTGGACCCGCTCGAGCGCAAGAACACCCGCTCGAGCACTAAGACACAACTGCAAATTACACCCACTCGAGCACAAAGGAAAGACCGCTCTAGCGTAGATTACACTCCTCCAGTATTTTTACAGACATCGAGCACCCGCTTGAGCGCCAAAAGGCCCGCTCGAGCGTGAAAAACACATCTGCAGTAGTTTTGCAAACGCACAAGATACTGAAAGTATGCAAACTCCACTCGAGCGGAACACCAAAAAATCCGGGCAACAAGGAATGGGACTAAAGCTCAACCAACCTGCTCGAAACACGCCCAATACAACCCAAAACTCAAATACAACGAGTAAAGGATGGAAATGAGAATACGACAACAACACATCGACGGAACCGAGTCCGGAATACAATAAAATAAAGAAAAGGAAAACCGAGATCGCTATAATCTACTTGTCCAAATAGTTTGTGAATCTACCAACATGATCCAAAAATTTAAATCTAAATTTGCTAATTAACAAGTTAATAGAACCTTATATTAACTTGTTATTAAATAACTCAAAATTAATAAATATAGGGTTGATTTTATTATTATCAAATGCTATCTTCCATGCATGCACTTTGTTACCTATTTTAGTTTCCCTAAAAATCATTGCCATCCAATCATTTCACAACTTGTAGTAAATCACGTAACTGTCTAATCTTAATGATCCAACTATTTTTTATTTTTTATTAATTAATGATATTACAATCAAGAGGGATTTGGTCAAAATCTTCTCATAACAAAATTTTAATGTATTAAGAATAATCATAAAAAGTTTTCCTTGAAAATCTAACACATACCACTATCACAAAAATATAATTAGTGAGTAATTTAATATTTTAAGTTTTAAAATAATATAACTTTTGATTTAAATGTCAATTTTTTAATCTATCAAACAAAATCTATGTTGACTATAAAATTTTTCAAAAACAATAATAAAAAAAATATCATCGAAATTGATATAAATAATAACATGTTACACTGTCTTACTCTAATTCATAGTAACATTTTACTATTATAAAAAATAGAGAACATACAAGATGAACCAACACTACTACAAAAACAGTTAAAGATCACATTTTGACAAATGAAAATGTCTCACTTTTATTAGAAGTGTGATAAAAAAAATTTAGATTGATATTTTAATCACACTTAATTTGATTGAGTGTAATAATATTGATTTTTTATGTCACTTTTCAATTAAGTGTAATTATATATATATATATATATTTTTTAATCACACCTTCTAATTAACATGTGATTATATAACATGTGATTAAAGGTCACATAAGAAGAATTAAAACTATCTTACTTTTATTAGAAGTGTGATTAAAAAAATTTAAATAATTTTTTAATCACTAAAGTTAATGAGTGAGATAATATTTTTTTTAACACATGTTTTAAATAAGTGCGATTATATATATATATATATATTTATTTATTTTAATCACAGTTCCAAGGTGTGATTGTATATAATTTTTCAATTTTGTTTTTATATCATTATAATAGAATAAAATGTTTTTTGAAAATGTTTTAGCGAGATAATTGATAAGAATGGCTCAGATCATTTTAAATGAAAAATTAACGAATGAGATCATTTGGAAAAATTATGAGTGGACCAGAATCACAACTGCTTCCTCATTTCTTTTTCCTTCTTTATGTTGCAAAAACTCTCTCTCTCTCTATCTCTCTATCTCTCTCTCCCACGCACGGTGTAATGCCCCGAAATAATCCAACACAAATTAGGTACATTAACCAACATTCATTAAGGAATAAAGATGGATCTCCTACTCTTTTCATCATTAATCAATAAAGTGTATACAAAAGTCCTACATGCGAATTATGCATTTAACGATATGAAAACTCATGAATCTATAGCATGTAGAGCATCAAGTCCCAAAATAAATAAAATGCCCTTAAGGGCTTACATATTCCAAGGCTTGAGCCCGGTTACACAAAAATCGTTTCACGAACCCATACATTTAAGCCCTTGGCTAGCAAATAAATTCACAACAAATGAGAGTCATCTACTCTTCACAAAATATATCCATGCCCTCAACTCGGTGGGATCACCACATCTTTTCCTGCACCAAAATCCCGTCAGGGTGAGTATAAAGCCCAGTAGAGAATCCTTACCAAGTATATACAGTCATGCAGATTTCCAATGTTAAATGCAAATACCATGCAATGCCATTTTAGAGAGAATTTCATTTACATGCTCTTTTGAAAATCACCCTGTTTCAACAATAGTTTGAAATCTCAACAATCCCGAAACTTCTAATTTTATTCAATAGATGCAGTAAATACAACTCAGGTAATCCCGAAGTTGGTGTCTGCAAGGAGGCTCAACTAGCACTACCAATACCCCACTTTGTTGCTAACTAGAAGGGAAATGGTACATTCTCCGCGCGTGTTTTCGGTCTTTCACCCCAGACACTCAGGCCAACGTATCAATTCCATCTACACCTCTTATCTGGACTTACCAACTTATTTACCCCAAAAACATTTCCTTAGTTCTCTTTTCTCAACAATTATTTTCTCAATGCAAGATAATCAATTTCAAATCAAAACATGCGGTAATCAAACAATAGTGTATGCAAGATAACAATTGGTAATGCTACAATAATCATTCCCTTTTTATTCTTATATAGTTCAACAATAATCTCAAATAAACGAGCTTTCATTCCTTCCATTCCATATTATCTCACAATGGAACCATGTTCCCATTTGATTTCATACACAAATAACTACATTTCCACCTCTCAAGCAATTCCAACAACATAATCATTTCAAGACTATAGCAACAATTGACAATAATTTCGTTCCAACACCAACATTTTTCTCTATTTTATGAGATTCATCATTTGTAACTATAGGTAAGAAACCTTTCCTTTCTTTAACTCTTTTCATATACAAAATAATGCATTAATAATAAAACTTCATGTGTTCTTATCATTTGTTTTGAAAACTCCAAAATTTCTAGTTTTCTTCTTTACAAACAACACACACACACATGCACACGCACACACACACACACTAATCACTTGAATAGGACCCTCAAGATCACACCATTTTCTTTACCTAAGATAAGTTCAACTCTCAAGATGCTATCTTAGAAGAATTTGAGATTTTTAAAACCCATTTTTGAAAATCTCTACATTTTGGATCACAAAATTAAAATCAACATAATAACTTCAAGAAAACTTTTAAATCAACATCAATATTGCGAAACATGTATATATAACTCAAGAAGTCTTTACCTCAAGGTTTGATGACGAAAAATAGATGATACCCTAGAAATCAAAGATGCCCAAGCTCAATCTCCACCATACACAATGTAGATCTTGAGAAGCTCTTCCACTTTGATGAAGGAATTTGGGTTAGAAATGCAAGAGATATAAGAAATCAAGAACTCTAAGTGTTTTGGTGTGTGGAATGTAGGGAGAATTGAGAGGAGATGATTTTTTAGAGAGAGAGAGGTGAGCCAAAAGTGATACAAACACAGCCAAATAGAGAAGAAAAAAAAACAGAGATTTAGACTGCCAACATCCCGGACGTGTAGCACGTGCCCCCGGACGTGCGGAGCCAACTTCCCGCACGTGCGGCCCTCAACTCCGCACGTGCAGCCTTCCCATGCCGCGCCTCCTCCAGCACCTGCATATATTGCAGTATGCTGCCCAAACATCCTCTAAATTCCGCACGTGCGGCCTCACCTCCCGCATGTACGGCCTTGGTTTGCAGCCCAGAATTTTCCCAGCTCAATTCTAGCCACTTTGAACCTAACGTCGCACTCTCCAAAACAAGTGAAAATCAACACTGAATAAATGAGAAACAACTTTCGGACACCACAAACCCAAAGTTAAACAAAGGAGAATGGAGCGAATGATACACTCGGTCATCACAACCTCCCCACCATAGGAAATTTCGTCCCTGAAATTTAAACAAACTACCCAACAATGCAAAGACGACAAGTGGTCAAAGCCATACGAGTTGTTGTTTCAAATCACAACGTTAATTCTCAATTCAAATTTATCATTACCATTGTGGTTACCACACTAGCAACGACCATTCAAAATAAACATATGCATGGAGTTTCTTCAACAAAATGGTAACAACTCACAACAATCTCATGCCTAAAACAACAATGTATATAACAACATGTACTTAACAATTTTCAATAAATTTCCCCATAACACTAGGGCATAATACTAATGAAGGACAACTTAGGCAGGTTCAAATAAATCTGGATACTTGGAGCGAACTTCTGCTTCCCGCTCCCACGTTACTTCTTCAACCCCATGGTGTCTCCACAACACCTTCACTAACGGTATAGTTTTACCCCTCAACACTTGCTCTCGGGTATCTAGTATTTGAATAAGTCGCTCTTTGTAAGACGCATCCTCATCCACCTCCAAATCAAACCAATCTAGCAAATGAGAAGGGTCGGGTTCATACTTCTTGAGCATCGACACATGAAAGACATTGTGAACCCCCAAAAGTTGTGGCGGTAAAGCCAATCGATATGCCACTTCCCTAATTCTCTCCAATATCTCGAAAGGCCCAATGAACCTCTGGGATAACTTACCACTCTTAACGAACCTCATCAAATCCCTCCTAGGTGAGATCTTAAGGAATACACGGTCACCCACTTCAAAAGATAAAGGTCGTCTCCTCTTATCGGCGTAACTTTTCTATCTGCTTTGGGCCGTAGCTAATCTATTCCGAATGAGAGCAACTTTCTCGATTGTCTCCCTAACAATTTCTGGACCCAATAACGGTACATCCCCTACCTCGGCCCAACAAACTGGTGATCTACAAGGTCAGCCATACAAGGCCTTAAACGGTGCCATCTCGATGCTAGCTAGATAACTATTATTATAGGCAAACTCAATCAACGGTAAGTGTCTCCCCCAAGACCCCTTGAAATCTATGACACAAGCTCTAAGCATGTCCTCCAAAATCTGAATGGTACGCTCCGACTGTCCATCAGTTTGAGGGTGGTAGGCGGTGCTAAAGGTCAACTTAGTTCCCAATGCCTCTTGAAGGCTTTGCCACAACCGGACAGTAAAACGAGGATTCCTATCTGATACAATGGTTACTAGAACCCCATGAAGTCGAACTATTTCTCTAATGTATAATTCTGCCAAGTACTCAACTGAGTCACTGGTACGCATCGGGATGAAATGCGTAGACTTAGTCAACCTATCAACAATCACCCAAACGACATCATTACCCCACTGTGTTCTAGGAAGTTCAACTACAAAATCCATGGTAATGTGCTCCCATTTCCACTCTGCTATCGGTAATGGTTGTAACAAACCTGCTGGTCTTTGGTGTTCGGCCTTCACTTGTTGGTAGGTAAGGCACTTCGACACAAAGAATGCGACATCCCGATTCATAGCCCTCCACCAAAATTGACAGCTAAGATCACGATACATTTTGGTGCCCCCCGGATGTACCGCAAGGCGTGAATGATGGAATTCCCGAAGCACTTCTTTTCTACAAGATTCAGGTACAAACAAACGGTCTAGGTAACGTACACTCTGATCCAAGTGAATCTTCAAACCCTTCTCCTCCTTCCCGTTGGAGATTCTGTCATGAATTGACTCTACTTCACGGTCTCCTTGTTGTGCCTCTATAACTTTGCTAATCAAGGTGGGTTGAGCACTCAAAGTAAACGATGTTGCACCCTCTTCGGACTCACCCAAGTGAAATGCAAACTTGCCGATATCACCCAACATAACCCATTCCCGAATGGCCACACTCGCCAAACTACTCACAGATTTTCGACTTAAGGCATCGGCCACTACATTGGCCTTCCTCGAATGATAGTGTAACTCGAAGTCATAATCCTCCAAAAATTTCATCCACCTCCGTTGATGTAAATTCAAGTCTTTTTGGGAAAACAAATACTTTAGACTCAAACTTCTCGCCATACAAATAATGCCTCCAAATTTTCAAGGCAAACACTACTGCTACTAATTCCAAGTCGTGGGTAGGGTAATTCTTCTCATGAGTTTTCAATTGCCGTGAACCGTAAACTACAACCTTTCCTCCTTGCATCAAAACACAACCAAGCCCATCCCGAGATGCATCGCAATAAACAGTGTAACCCAAACCTCTCTCCGAAATTATCAACACTGGTGCGGTAATCAGTCTAGTTTTAAGCTCTTGGAATGACTTTTCACAAGCCTCACTCCACACAAACTTAATCCCCTTTCTAGTCAATCTAGTCAAAGGCGCGACTAGCCTAGAGAAGTCCCTTACAAAACGCTGATAGTACCCTGCAAATCCCAAGAAACTCCAGATCTCAAAAACGTTCTTAGGTTGTGCCCAATCCTATGTAGAGTCTATCTTTGAAAAATCTACAATTACTCCCTCTCTTGACACTACATGGCCCAAAAACTTCACCTCGGTGACCCAAAACTCGCATTTCTCAAACTTGGCATACAATTGATGCTTCCTAAGCAAATCAAGCACTACCCTCAAGTGGGCCTTGTGTTTCTCCTCGGAAGTCGAATTAATTAGGATGTCGTCCACAAAGACGACCACAAAATGATCCAAATATTCTCTAAAAATTTGGTTCATCAAGTCTATAAAGGAAGCCGGTGCATTAGTCAACCCAAATGGCATTACAAGGAACTCATAGTGACCATAATGCGTACGAAAGGTCATTTTTTGTATGTCCCCATCCCAGACTCTCAACTGATGGTACCCCGACCTCAAATTTATCTTCGAAAAGTAACAAGACCCTCTTAGTTGGTCAAACAAGTCATCTATTCTGCGTAAAGGGTACTTGTTCTTGATGGTAACCTGGTTCAACTTGTAGTAATCGATACAAAATCGCAACGACCCATCCTTCTTCTTCGCAAAAAGAGTCGGCTCTCCCCAAGGCGATGTACTAGGGTGAATGAAACCCTTGTCTAAAAGCTATTGGAGTTGAATCTTCAACTCATGCAACTCCGCGGGAGCAAATCTATACGATGCCATGGAAATTGGTGCCGTTCCAGGCACTAAGTCATTGGTGAACTCGATCTCCCGGTGGGGTGGCAAACTGGTAAGATCCTCGGGAAATACGTCTGGGTATTCAATAACTACCCTTGGTAACTCCACTATTCAAAAGAGTAGCAAGAAGGCCACTAAGCTCGTTCCTACTACGAGGGTTTATTCCTGGCAATAAGACCCTATCAATCTGGTCCCCCAGAAAGTAAAAATAATCACCACTCGAGGTGCATACAGTGACCCTCTGACGAAAACAATTAATCACTGCTCGATACGAAGACAACCAATCCATGCCTAGAATAACATCAAAACTTAACATGTCTAGCAACACAAAGGCAAACGGGAGTCGACGCCCAGTAACCTCTACCTCACAACCACGACACCCCCTTTCTAAGTCGACTGTACCCCCAACTGGTGACTTTACTCTGAGCGGAGACGCTAACCGTTCCACCTCTAATCCCAATGCAGACACAAATGCAGTAGATATGAATGAATGAGACGCACCCGTATCTATCAACACGTTAGCCAAAGAATTACACACAACAAAAATACCTCTCACAATTAAGGATCCCGACAACTGCTCTGGTATGGTAACAGCATACATGCGCCCCTGTGGCCTTAGATCAACCTGCTCATCTCTAGGAGCATAGGCCCGCTGCACTGACTGAGCCAAAATGGCTCTGTGATTAGCTCATGAAGTCTGTACTAAGTGAGCCTGTTGGTGGCTCTGAGTCTGCCTCGACCCTGATACGCCAGATGTGCCTCCAAACTGCTGGCAAGCTGTCTTCATATGCCCTGACTGACCGCACTGATAGCAAGTAGTCCTTTGCCCCCTACTCTGAGACTGACTCTGAGATCGATTAAGTGGTGCTGGTGGCAACATCTACTGTCCTCCTCCTTTCTGTGGACATGCAAAGGCCCTGTGACGCAGTTGGCCACATTTGAAACAAGAGAAGCCACTCAGTGCACTCTTCCCCGAGCCCGCACTAGGCAAGAAAAAGGTGGATCTAGACTGTTGTGGTTGAGACTGTGATGCAAAGGTGTTTCTACTCTTCTTGTTGGGCCTGTAGTCCCCTTGTGACCCTTGGCCCCTAGACCTCGAACTCCGAAGTCTCTCCTCCTCAGCCTCCATGGTAATCTCCACATGTGCGGTCGCCTCCACAAGACGGTCATAATTTTGAATCATGTTCTTGACAACCTTGAACAAGATCTTAGTTCTCAACTTCTTCTCGAACTCAATGCAACGACATTTTTCCATTGCCACCAACTCCGGTGCAAACTAAGACAAACCAGAGAAGGCCGCTTCGAACTCAGCCACGGACATGTTAAGTTGCTTAAGGTCTTGGAATTCCTGCCTCAAGCTCTTCCTAGCAGTGAGAGGTAGGTACTTGTCTTGGAAAGCCACCACAAATGCTTCCCATGTCGGTTCTATTCGGCCCTTGGCGTATTTCCACCACTGGCCCGTATCCCTCTTGAGGTAGTAACTCGCAATAGTCACTCTAAGCTCACTGTCTTCGATGTGAGGCATCTCAAATGTCTTCACTGTCTGTTCGAGCCATTCATCAACTTTCTTAGGCTAGGGGCCACCATGGAACTCATCCGGCTTGACCCGCAAAAACTCCATCGTGAGGAAACTCGCCCTTGTCTCTATGGCGTTCTCCCTTACTTGGTTCTCCGCCCTTAATATATTCATAGACTCCCTCAAGGCCCCCGCCATTTCTCGGGCTAAGTCCATTGCGGTTTGACCCGCTTGCCCTGGTATCTCGGCTTGCCCCACTTGCTCGGCCATATTAGCTTGGCCTAACCCCTCCTCTTGCGCCCGAACCTCATGGACCGGTACTTCATGCACACCCCGGCGACCTCTACCATGCCTTCCACCTCTACCTCCACGAGTTTGACCCCTTCCTGACATCCTAATTGAGAAACAAGATAAACAATTTAGCACATAATTTCGAATGTGCTTGCAAATCCTCTCACTCGTTTGAATGCAACAATCCTATACAATTTCTACCATTCAAGCAATTAAATTCACTCCACATAAGCACTTAGTCACATAAGCATATACGAATTATTCTTTTGTGATGGGATTCGTCCCACAAAAAATCAAGAATCCTTAGTAGAACGAGTATTGATCAGGTACCCTTCTAATAAGACCTCAAGGAATTAATAGGCGCAAATAACATCCAAAAAGTCCAATCCTATACCCATATAGTCACATAAGCATGTTATCACATAATCACGAAAAACAAAACATTTCTTAATCATGCAAAATGAACCCTTTTGTGGCAAAACAACCACTTCCCGCGAGCCCCAAGTATTCAAACCCGGTAGCTCTGATACCAAGTTGTAATGCCTCGAAATAATCCAACACAAATTAGGTACATTAACCAACATTCATTAAAGAATAAAGATGGATCTCGAACTCTTTTCATCATTAATCAATAAAGTGTATACAAAAGTCCTACATGCTAATTATACATTCAACGGTATGAAAACTCATGAATCTATAGCATGTAGAGCATCAAGTCCCAAAATAAATAAAATGCCCTTAAGGGCTTACATATTCCAAGGCTTGAGCCCGGTTACACAAAAATGGTTTCAC